AGAAGTTCTGTCTTTCTCTTGTTCTCTATGTCTCACTATGTTGGGTTTATGCTCTCCTCTTTAGCAACCAAGCATGTGATATACAATTTCTTATAAAATTTTCATTCTAGAACAGGAAAAATGAGTAAGACACTTATTAAAACAGAAAATTCCAAAAATATTAATGGAGAAAAAAAAGAAATAGTAATGTGCTAAGAAGAAATAACCTGATTCATCCAATAGACCTGAGTCTTGAGCTGGGTTATATAATGATACATATTCTTATTGTACAGGACTAATGTTGTGCACAGTTCTGACTCAKGTTTCTTCTTACACATAGCACAGAGTGAATTTTCATAGGTGCAAGACTCACAAATGGATTAGGTTTTTGTACTACCTSCATGTGAGCAAGTAAAAGCTTAACAAAATTGGTGTTTTCAATTAGGTGTGGGTTTCCAGATGCTTTTCAGAATCCTTACAGCGTGTATCTATGGGAGAGAAGAACTGTTGTTATGCCAAAAAAGTTCTGTGGCCTCYGGGCAAGTTCTTTCTAAGCTAGATATTTGTCCTCTTGCGTAGCTCCTAACGGCTCTAAGAAGAGCATTGCATGTGAGTATAAAGGAAGAAAACAGGCTATCTTTATTGTGAGTGGTACAAGAATGTGCATGTCTTTTGAGTTTCAAYAGCATATCTCTAAATCTAAGCAGGGCTCAGAGTGTTCTTTYATTATAATAATAATAAAATCCTGTAAGGATACTCTACTGGAACAAATATATGTTGTTTCTTTCAGTGTCTTATCTGCATTTCCAGGACTGTGGCTCTCAGTTTTTCATTTTTATAGCATCCCTTCTAGTCTGATTCATCTACATTGATGATGAATATTTTATCCAAATTATGTCCTACTAATGAATGGTCTTTCACTCAGAAATTTTGACAATGTTTTTTTCAAGACAATGAGTAAAAAAGATTGGGCATTCTTTTGTGGAGATTTTAACATATTATTCCTTTCTTGTAAATGTCAAGTCTTGCCAAGTATCTGACTCRCTTGTTTTTGTTGTTCTAGGCTTAACTTTGTGATTACATTATTAAACATGAGATTCCTCACTCCTGACTGCCACAAACTAACAAAATTACTTCTTTCCTTTAACCAGAAGTGGCTTTTAGTACCTCAGTTATATCCTATGAGGTAAAAACAAATGGAAATTTTAAATCATAATGGTACTTAAGAGCTGATGTTGTGTAGATTCAAGGTGAATGCTGTTTTATTTTGAACTGTTCATCTGAAGAAGTACACAGGTTCTGTGTAAGGGAAGAACTGGGTAGGTTATGACATATAGTATCATACCCCACATTTATCTTTCTGGATCCTTAAAATAAAAAAAAAAAAAGTACCTAAGAATTGCGTGCGTGTGTGTGTGTGCGTGTGCATTCTCTCATGGAGATGGTGATATTAAGGCAGTGCCTTTATCCTTATATTACAAGTGTGATTATTCTTGTAATATTACAAGTGTGTTAATACTGCAATACAAACTTCCATGATACAAAACTCCTAATGCCAGAGCGAATCTAAGATGTTTGTGCTCTTGGCTACTAATGCTTTTGGTTGTGATGACTTAGCTGTTGGAGGTCTGCGCTGTGAATAAACTTGTGGTTAAAGAAAAAGGGAGATGAGAAGTGTTCTTTTTTCAGTCAGATTAGTTCTTGTTGATGATGTAGCCACATACAGAGTCATATTGGCTCAACAAGGCAGTACTGCTGCCACATGGTTTATTCTATGAAGCTGGGACCTAAGTAATGGGCTCAGGGTCTTGCAGGAAATATGTCACAAAACAAGAAATTAATCACCACTCTTCAAATTTAGGCTACACCCTAAACCAGCCTTTAGGTCTCAGCTTCAACTAGGTAATTTCAAATGCAGTTGTTGCAATTTTTACTCTGCAATGCCACATTTCAGAGTGATGCTAAAATTTTATATTCATTTGTTCTAGGAGATACTCTTTTTTGATTAAGTTGCTATAATTTCTTATATTATGTCATTTCTCCTGTTATCCTTTCCAAGAATAAATCTTCTTTTGAAGGTGCAAACATTTTAGGTGCAAAAAGYTTTGAGTGGCGTTGATTATAAAATAAATATAAATTATACCAATCATAACTTTACAGTGTAAATTATCTTTAATGTTTGATAAATTCTCACTGTGATTTAAATTGACTGAATTAAGAGATTATTGGGAAATACATTCCTAATCTTAAAATCTTAACTACTGTCTTCTAAAATGTTCATATTCAATGTTCTGCAATTTTTCTCTTCTAATTACATTTTTAAGTGTCTCATTTTGCTGTATGAATAATTCACAAGTGATGACAATTTTTATTTGCTTTGCAATGCCATTAAACAGAATGATTCACCATTTCCTCGTGGCTTTTCAACTTTGGCAAATGCCTATTGAATCGAGAAAAACACAAATTGAYGGATTAGTTCCTATATATGTATTGCTGACTATGCATGTTCTGAACTGTGAAACATAGAAATAGATTCTAAGCCAATGGATTTTCACCTGGAATCTATTTCATTGGCAACAGAAAATGCTAACAGAGATGAGAGGTATATTATACTGGAAATGAATTAGAAAAGAAAATTTCATCATATTCTAGTTCTACCATATGATCCTTGTTTTATTTTTCACCTTAGAAAAACCATACACCTTCAAGCTGTTAACGAATATATATTTTTCTTGGAGAAAAACAGGAAATAAAATTTGTGATATTTATTTCTTTTAACCGTCTGAATTATAGTGTCACAGCACTATTTTGAAACTTGCTGAGTAGCATGTTTTGCTAAGAGCAAATATTTAAATTATAGACCAGAATATGTTGCTTTATTATCATAACCTAATAGATGGATCAGCAAGTTTTTTTTTTTAATGTGGGCATTGGAGAGAAAAGCAGATGAAATACGTAAACTTTCTGAAATCCACATTCATCAAGAGTGGGGAACAACTCTTTCACTCACTTCTGGAAATGATACTAGAAGAGCAAGATGAAAATAGCGGAGAAATTACTGGTACCAGCAGATTAGACTTATGTTTTGTTTTATCCTTGCAAGGCTCCTAGGTAAAAAGCAACACAGATATTTCTAGTGACTGCATTTGAAACAAATAGTAGGAAGGTCATGGTGGTTACTTCTGTTTGCTGCCCTTTCAACCACAGGCTGAGCTAAAACCAAAAATACATGTTTAATAGAATCGAGAGCACAAAAAGGAAAATATAATTATTGCTATGAGACATTGCAATGGCAGGCATATTTTATGAAATTGCTGTTTAGTATGTAGTGTTGCAAGAATTCTTTTCTGAAATAAATGTTCCTGCGTAGCTGCTACATTTTTCAGCAATCTATTTCTCTGATCATTCTGATCTCATGATCTTGTTTGTAAAGGTAAATAATACATCTGATCCGACATTATGGATGGAAACAATGAAAGTATGTTTACACATCTCATTAGATTATAGACAGCACCGTTCTGACCCTGAGCAAGTTGGCTGGAATTATCTACATATGTGTGCATGTGTGTATACATACACAGGAGCACAGCCCACATAAGCATGCATATACTAGTATACCCAGGACAATATAGTGCTTGTATAAAACTAGGCACCTACAGAAAGACAGGAGAGATTTTATTTGTCCATTACCTGTGTTGTGCAGACCTGACTTGCACTGTGCAGAGAAGTGACAGAGCCTTGGTCAAGATATTGAGGAAGGGATCTCAAGAGGCACCCACTTCAAGTTGATTTTGGAAGTAGGGCTGGCTCTGAGATCAGCCCCTGCTGCTCAGGCTTTTATTCAGGCACATTTTGAAAACGTCCAAGGGTGGACACGGGATGGCCAGGCTGGGCAACCTCTTACCCAGCTTGACCGCGCTCGTGTTGAATATCTCATGTGAATTACACTTGGAAGATGGGATACATACAAGTTTATGTAGTTCATGATTTTTTAACCTTTCTGTCTTCTAAATCAGCAGTAGGTAGAAACTTTGTCTTTCTTATGACCCAAGCAAATTGTTGTAGTGTAATAGTATGGACATGATGGCTCTAGCAATGTCTCTCTGTCCAAAGAAGGTTAGGAGGGTGAAGCAGTACTTCTTGCTTAGGATAGGAAGGTTTCTCTTCCTGCCTWCATTAATCCTCTGAAAATATAAATCATTTTGTTTAAAAAGGTGTATTAAAGAGGCTGCAGACAGTGAGCAAACACAGCAGTCCCACTAGCTAGAGTGGCGTGTAGCTGGGTGTCTGGGTGTTGGGCTTCTGTATGTGAGAGTTTCTTGATGATGCTTCTGTTATGGGAGAGTACATAAACTTTTACTACTCAATTTGRGCCTTTAACTGTTTTAGTATCTTTGAAAATAATTGTTTTTTAAGGGAGAAGTAATTATAGTAATGCCAGATGTTGTTTTTACTGTATTAACTATTGTTTATGTTTAACTGGAAATATATTTCTTAGCACTGTGAAACACAGCTATTGGGATTTTTTTTTTCCATCTATAGGTGATATAGGTTTCATTTATGCTGAGTACATTTGTATTTTACATTGAAAGACAAGAACTAAAAGGTAGATCCTCATAGGGAAGACAACATATGAAATGTGTCTTTCTTCAGGTTTCTGGAGGGTCTAATTGCTTTTCACGGRCCCATATTTTCACATCACCATTTGTTCTGTTTCCACAATGTCGTCCATCACTTAGTGAACTTCCTCAAAGAACAGGTAAAGTAACAGGCTATCTTTAAGACTTAGGAATGCAAGAAGTGGGAAGACTGTCTGGTGGAAGTTTGTTTACTTTTATCACCAAAGAATAATTAGGTACTTTTTGGCTCTTGTCATTTGTCTTCTTAGGTAAACTGTACACTGGAAACAAGCTCTCCACTTATAAACTTTCCCAGCCATGTATAACTTCATAAAGTACAACACTTCATCAAAGCAGATCCATTAAATCTGACTGGTCCTCTTCTCTTGGCTTTGATTGCAGCACCACACAGAAGCACCTAGCCCGTCATTGCTGCCCCCATCAGCCTTGCCATTAGATGTATTAAACAACGCCGTTGCTGGATTTAGTACGGTGGAAGAACTTATCCGATACCTTGAACCAGATCGGTGGCAACTGGATTTAGAAGATTTGTACAGGCCAACATGGCAACTTCTTGGAAAGGCATATATTCATGGGAGAAAATCAAGAGGTAAATTACACTTCTATTTGGCCTTGCAGCTTTCTTACAGACAATTTTGTGACAAAGAAACAGTAATTATGAGTCTGTTCACCTTGAATGGTTTCAAGGACAGAAGGTATTAGAGATCATTGGTTAGATATTTTCAGTTGTATTCAGATCATTGGTGTTAGATATTCAGTTGTGTTTTCTGATAAAGGAGAATGACCATCCTCAAAACTCAAAAGAGTTCAACATGATAAAATAACAAAACTAAAGCAGTCAGTAAACTTGGGACCTCTGTTTTCAGAGTGGAGGAACCTCTTTTGTGTAGAGAGCAACCACTTTGTATTTTGATTAGCGTAGGTCATTCCTTGCACCTACTGTGTCAATTGAGCAGTTGGTTTCTTTCCTTAGCATGTTTGCAGTCTCTGCAACCTGTGAATTGAGAGYTGAATGTTTCTCTTCCCATGCTACCTCATGAAATCCTTGTGTCCATATTTGATTGTGCATTTGYCAGCTTCATCAGATGTAAAATGTGCATGTATTGTAAGACTTGTTGAGCTATTTCCCATTAAACAAGTCATTTTATCCCACATATATTTGACATTCATGCATCTTCTACCACATATCTTYCCGATGCTGCCTACTATGTCATGTTTATGGACTTTATGTGGATGGATAGCATGCAGACTCCTTCCTTTYTCACCACATAGCATGACAAAGAAGATAGAGTTCTCAGGTGGCAAATGTAAACTAAATTATCTGATCAGGAAGGAAAGGGAGGAGATGAAAACTTTCATAACTTGCATATAAGTTTTTGACAGCTTGTGACTGAATCATAGCCTAAAAATGAATCCTTCTACTCTACTTCTGTTACTACAGCAATATATTTATCAAATAAACCAAGAGTCAAAGAGGAAGAAGTTTCTTTAAATGGTTTCAGTGATGGATTGTGTCTTTCAGATAGTCATTTAACGCTTTTCTAATTCCAGAGTTTCAGTATTTGCCAAATACATGCCATAAGCCTGCAGTAAGTAGAGAGAAAAATAAAATGTAATACGTGRAACTTTACATAAACTAAAATGCAGGTCTTGGATAACATCTATATAGACAAAAGCAACTCCCTGCAAGAGAGATCTTCCAAAGAAACTATTAGATGTAAATCTTCTAAAGACTTCTAATTAGATACTGAAATARTTTTTTCCACTGAATAAGCATATCACAGTATTGCCACATTCATCTTAAAGAGACCACCCTCAAACTGCATTGCTGAGTGTGTAATTTAATATACTGGGGCAGAAAATAAGTCCAGTTGAGATGACATAATATGAACTGTTAGGTCTATTAAATAGTTAGGGAAAGCAAACTTTTTTATATTGTTGCTTTTAGTAGAATGTTTGCTGTATTTAAGAACTTTGGGAGGGGAGCATGCTCTAAAATGTTGTGAATTTTCATTCCCCAAACTCTTTGGTTCTATAATTAGATCAGTTTTGTTTTTGCAATATTTCAGTGCAAAAGCCAAATTAGTGTTCCCATGTTCATGAACAAGAACCAGATTATATCTAATTAAAGGTATATATTACTTTATGTGGAAAGGAGAAGAATATTATCCTCTACCTAATAATTCTTATGAAAAAGACTGTATTTAGACAACCTGAATTCTACAGAGCTTTCTGTGTCTGATGTTTTCTCTGGATAAAATGCTTCCAAAAACTTTTACCCAGGAAGGAAGAAAMAGCAGGTCCAGAACCTTTGATGTCTAAATATAGGGCCAAATTCTTTTACAATGTTAAATACAGCCCTAAATTATTTTAGAATATTAAACATACTTAAAAATAAAATCTATGTTGCCATGCGAAAAAATGATCCTATCCCTTCAAATAGAAATCTATAAGTAATCATTAGTCCATATTCTGGAGTCTGTTTAAGAACAATAAAAGTCATAATCCAATAACAGTATTTAGTAGATACTTTTCTAGTATATAGAGACTTTATCTTTTTCACTCCATCTTGAGAGTTCAAAAATTGCACAGAAACCCCTTTTGAAACAGCTCTTTGCTGCTATATGAACCAGTAGGAAGAGTACACTGGTAAGAACATCTCCAAGGAGTTACACTCCTGGGACCCAAACCGTTCTGCTATGTGCACATACTGATGTCTCAACCAGGATATATATWTTTTTTTCACTCTCTTTGAGAGTAGAACTCATCTGGAAAAATATTTTGGAAAAGAGAGGTCACTGTTGTACTGAATACAAGTGCCAGAAAATGCTGAACAGTCGCAATACCAGTTAGATAAATCAGTTACTTTCAGGCTGGTGTGCACATGGAGTATTTAAGTTGTGTATGATAATGAAGACACACTTTTAAAGCAAACTTTACTATAGACTTACCTGCATCTACATTTACTTTCCCTTTTTCCCTTCTCCTCATATTTTAATTTTAGTGTTTCTCATTCTTATGCTACTGCAGAACCTTCCATTCTTCCTGAGCTAGTGCTAAACAAAAGGACTTTGACTGTTGTGTCAAACATGATACATGAGTGGAAGCTAAGTTGAAAGAGTGTTTAAATGTTCACATTATAACAGGTACTGTAACTCAGTGCACTTGGGAAATCCACATAACCTTTTATTGTGGTTAAGTAAACACTTTTAAAGGGAATATATACATTCTCTCATCTAGCTTCATGCCCACAGTGTGTTAAAATAAATTTTGGACAGACAGATACTCTTTGAAAAAATAACAGCTTCATTCACACACTTCAAAGAAGTGATTATATAAGCACTGGATAAATTTGCCACAGACCTTTTAATGAAATTAAATTAAATAAGGTAGAGTGAAAGTTCATGTAAAGGTGTAACAGCAGAATACCTTAGTGCATTGTAACGCACAGAGACCAAACATGCAGTTTTTCAGCTCTCCTGATATTTGTTTTTACAGTAAGACACACTTTATGTCTGCCCAGGGCTGAATGTGTGTTCTCATACACAAACTTTTTAAAGTTTAGTCTGGAGGTGTGAGCGTTTCAGTTCAGTTTCATTTCAGTTTTGTGACAAAATGTACAATACGTTTACTGTTCATTTAAGTACACTATTGTTTTCTCTATGACTTAACTATAACTTGTAGAGAAAAACTGATGCATTCAGTTCTTCTGTTGACCGTAGGGAGAAGATAGCATCAGTAGGCAGCTATCTTCTACTGGCCACTGGGCATGCTAGAAGAGGCAGGTGGTATCTTTGGCATCAGTGTCCAACTTCTAATTTCAATTTCTTGTGGTGAAAGAACAAGCGGAAATTGTGTTAGGAGACATAAGCTTAAACTTAGCTTCCTGAAATTCATTGCACCAAGCACCTTTAGGCTCTGTAGAAATCTACCAGCAGAAAGTATCAGCAGAACTATAATTTGTCTACTGTATTTTTAGTTGTATTCCCATTCAGATTTATCACTGATCTCATACCCTGACAGGTATGAGAGAAAGAAATATACCCAGTTTCTGTCCACAGTCTTTGATAAATGGAGGTAGATACGTCCACTCTCTAAATGACTCAGCCTAGTGCTATTAGCTGACCTAGGAAAACTAAATCATTTCTATCTTCTCCTTGTGAATCTCTCCCAATTTTTTTTGTATCTCTTTTCTCCTGCTCCCTTCTCAGCTTTCTTCAGGGAACACTCTTTCTGTGTGGGAGGCAGGCTGGTGTCCTATCAGTAACTTCATTGGAGTTATTACACAGTCCTCACTTCTAAAAAATCAGCTTGTTTATTTAGGAGCCAGTGTTAACCTGATAGTAAAGGAATGAAGTGCCCTGGCTTGACTTTCATTGTAAATGTAAGCAGAGAAAAGCTTCAGTCTGTTTAACTGACCCTTCACAATATATCTTTACTTTTGGATGTCAGTATATGGTAAGGTTTGCAGAAGAAATATTTTAAGAACTGTGGAATGAAATTATTGCCCAAGGATCTGCTCCTGAGACAGTGCTAGTGAGCATTTCTTTAYAGAGGGGCAGCTTCTAAATTCTCTATTTCTTATATGTTTAAATAGAAGCGAGAGGAGATGGCCGGTATCAGTAGGCTGAAGTTCTCCTTAGCAGCTTTTGGAGGCTCTTCACATAGTAGACAGATAAAAGAGATGTCTTTCTGAAGATGAATAGAAATATAGTAGTAATATATCTTAACTTTATTCATAACTTTTTTTTTAATTGATGAACTATCAATGAATGATATTAACTAGTGCAATTTTTAAATTGCACTGAGATATTTTTGCTCCCAATTCCTTCTTGAATCAGCTTAAAAACAGTTTGTTTAAAGGTCTGTACTGCTTTGCTCAGGACTGACTTCTTACATTATTACATTCAGGTCATATTACATTATTTTTCTTCTTTCTGTTCAGGAAGATAAGGTACCGAGAACCAGTAGGAAGGAATACCCCTGTGAGTGAGGCATTAATTCCACTCCTTACTCATGGTGGGAGTGGAGAGAAAAGGTTAAGGCAAAGTATGCCAGATCATGGATAGCATAGACTGGCTTCTCTGAAAGAAATGCAATTACACCCTTTCACTGAACTGATTCTTAATGACTGTGTGTGTTTTCCGCTCATGGTTAGTACAGAATAGGAACACTCAAATTCAGAGTATGAGTGTGGCGCAAAGGGAACTTCATTAGGGTTGATATGGGAAAACATTCACTAGAACGCAGCAGCTAGAGCTTATTTTGCTTAATTTGAACCAACTCTTCCAGCATTACAAAATAAATAGTGAGTACTCCTGGTCAAGGAAATTTCAATTTAGGTTTCACAGTATTCATATAATGGGAGTATCATTCTTTGGGCCAACGTTTACCACTAGAGCAAGAGTGAGCTTTTCTCAAGACTTCCTGACCGACCAAAGGTTTGATAAGGAACCAGAAGAGCATATGCTTGTGTGAGGATCTTTTTATTTTTGTTTTCTGTTTTTTTCTTTTTTCTTTTTTTTTTTCCTGCAGTGGTGGATCTGAACCTTCTAAAGGAGGAGGTGCGGCTGTATAGTTGCACTCCCCGCAACTTCTCAGTGTCCCTGCGGGAGGAGCTGAAGAGAACTGACACCATCTTCTGGCCTCTGTGCCTTCTGGTTAAGCGCTGTGGTGGAAACTGTGCCTGTTGTCACCACAGCTGCAATGAGTGCCAATGCGTACCAACAAAAGTCACCAAAAAATACCATGAGGTAGGCACTTTCTAGTATGTTTGCATGCTTGGAAGTACTGTGAGACAACTCAGGAACTTATTTTACTATGAGTTTACCAAAGTATATTTTAAAATTGTACATATCGGACTTGTAGCAACATATTTTACTACTTTGATGAMTGTTACTTAAAATTTTAGTAGCTTCCTTTTTAAAATATTGTATAGTAGTGAAAGCAGAATTGGTGTTTTATATTTAGGTTTCCTAGTATTCCTATARGTACTAATATATTTCTGTGTTGGCTGTGTACAGACTCACTGTGAAGAGTGAGCTTTACCATGGAACTGCATACTAGTTTGTTGGTGGATTTTGGACATATCACACCTTCTTGTTAACGTTTTCTGCTTTAAAAAGAAAGAGATAAAGAGATTTTTAAAAAGAAAGGATCCATCTCCATTGTTATAAATCTATAGCTAAGATTATTATTATAGAATTATCTCATAATTCTAGAGGTAAATTATATCATCAGTCTTTAAAGAAAATGAACAAAAACATGGACTCTTTCATAAGAAATGAATACCTGTTCAGTGTGTTATAATCACATTTGGAAAGGCCTGTAGGATGGAATAAATGAAGGAATTTGACTGAGGAAAAGTCTTGTTTTCTTTTAATAAGCTTCCTGCCTTTCAGTCTAGCTCATAGCCTAGGTGTGTAACGATGCACTTGCTGTTCTCTTGATGCTCGGATTGTTCTCCTTCAGGTTCTCCAACTGAAGCCAAGGATTGGTGTCCGGGGATTGCATAAATCCTTGACAGATGTGCCCTTGGAACACCATGAGGAGTGTGACTGTGTGTGCAAAGGGAATACTGAAGGATAAACGTGGTTTAAGTGTGCTGTTTTCTTGAAAAGCACATTCAATCAATGGCTGATTCTATTATGGGGCTTGTGCATTATCTCCTTCTATAATCTCAGTTGTTTGCTTTGGGGATCTTCCATCTTCAGGATTTACAGTGAGCTCTAAAAAGAGGAGAAGCCAAACTGGGATTATATGTTGTGTAACAGCTCTGTTTGGAGGCCCAGTAAAAAGATGGGAGAAAGGCATCAATGAGGGATTTAAAACGTGTGTATTGGTTTTGTCCCCAGCAATTTTCTTGACGAAACATGGATTTATAATTTAGGAGTAAAACTAAAGTAAGAAGGCTCGCGTCATGGAGACTTGATCCTGCTGGCTGTCACATTTCTACAGCTCCAGTACACCTTGCCTCTGTTGAAAACATCTGAAATCTGTCTTTCTGTGTTCAGCTGCTCCTATGTACTCTAAATGAAGCATTCTCTGTTTTAYAGACTTGGTTTAAAACAGACTGTCTTGCTCCAAATTCAGTATAATTTGCCTAATACTGGTAGGAAAGACTGGATTTTTATGTACGTTCTTGTAAAGCTCCTGCCTCTTAGAGAGAAGACTGGACAATAGCTATGGAATGAGCTAAYGCTGAAAGGAACAGTGCCTTTATACTTACTACTATGGTCGATGATTTTTTGTTGTTGTTTGTTATTTTTATCGTGTACATTTTTATACTCTCCTTTTGACAATATAACTATTTGCTTTTCTAAACTTGTTAAATATATCTATTTTTACCAAAGGTATTTAATATTCTTTTTTATTACAACCTAGATCAATTATTTTTTAGTTTTGTGAGACTTTAAAGCCAGATTTATACAGTTGGAGGAACATAGATTACTATGGGAACATGGGTTACTATGGGAAAGGATTGTTATTGCTTGATAGTTTGTTGCTAGATGGTGGAAAAAAATATGAGATTTTTACCTGGAAACAGTAATAATAAACAGAAATGTGTGGATGAAGGTCTAACCTTGCTAGTTCCATGATACTGAAAATACAAGAGACAGAGATTACTATAAATGGTTTCAGAAGTAGATATTAAAAAAATCCCTCTCTCTATTCTGGCATTTGTTCCAGTAGAAAAAAAAATGACCATAGATAGATGCATTCTGGCTTTTTAATTTTTTAATTTCTTTGAAGTAGGATGATCTACAACATAAGAAAAGAAGCTCAGTGGCTTGCTGCCTTCATCGTGACCGTGGAAAGGTAGTCTTGTTAATGTTGAAGTGTATGGTTTTATGTTGATGGTTATATCTGTTTAAATTCTGTTGACTCACAGAATTGTAACACTCTTCAGTACAGTTTTATGAACTATGTTTTTGTTTCTTCTGTACATTATATCCTTTAACCAATACACTTATCCCACTCTATGCAAATTGAAAAGGAAACAGTAAAATATTTTGCTTGTAAAATGCTTTAACATTATATCTAGTTTATTTTTTGACTATTGAATTTGCAGATTGTAATGAATCACCAAATAAAGTAATAATGCTAATTTTGGGAGAAGAAATGTTTTGGTGTGATTGCATATTTATATGTGATAAATATACAATAACAAAAAGTAGAGAGGGTGATTCACTATTAATTATTCTGAAAGTCAACTGAAGTCAAAGTGAAGACCATCTGTTACAAAGACATATCCATTTTCTTGTGCTTCCATTTGCTTAATTATTTCTCTTTAGCAGTAAATCCAAGAGAAGAAAGAAGAGAAGGAATATGGAGGTATTGTTACAATACATCCAAGTAGTGTGGATGCAAAGCTGTCAAGTTGATAAAAATGTTTTTTTGTTATGGTTTCCATCAGGAAAATGGTATGGAATGATATGGATGTTTCTCTCTGTTAGTATGACTTTATGATAGTGATTTTGTAAAATTTGCAGGTGAAATCTGATTTTGTCTTTACTGATATATTTTTACAACCCTCAATTTCTTACTTCATAAGACAATTAGCTGGTGGAAATGCAGAGTTATGGTCATACAGGAAACCTGGTTACTTGAGCTTTGAGTCCTTCACCAGAGTCAAGCGTGTTTCACAGTAACAATTTTTTTGAATTAATATTATGCTTTCTTTGTGATATTGACAGCTTTTCAGAATCAAATTTGATTAAAAAGAGAAATAACAGCCTCCGGCACTGTAATTCATCAGAAGAACTGAAAAATGTAATTTCGTTACTTGCATTACTCATGCGGGTTATATGTGTGGTCTCATCCTCTCTGCAGACTTGCTAGTGAAAGATGATGCAATGACATATATTTCAGGATACCTTCAGTAGATCTGAAGGTTAATGTTTTCCAAAAATTATAAATATTTCCTCTACTGCACCCCTCTGTTTTTGCCTGCCTTGCTTCCCTGCCAATGTTCTTGTACCAGTTTCCTTTCCAGCTCCTTGCTATAGGTCAAGCGTGTGGCATCCAAACTCATATCCCTTTTCTCTTTTCATCTCCRATATTGTGGGAATTTAGCACTCCACATTTTCACTAGCTTAGACAGCATGGGCAGCTGTGAGTATTTTTAAAGGACAAATTTTGGAAAAGATGCCCAACTATGGGATTAAAGTTGACTTTCTCCTACTTTGTGTCATATCCTCTATACTATTTGATAGAGAAAGTACTCCCTGATAGTGGAAAATTGCTGCTGGTTCTGATGGGTTGCACTGTTACTACTTAATACTTATGTGCCCGAGGTTTTGTTTCCTAGATTCTGCTGAGTTTGTCATGGCATTACATCCAGAAGATCCTTGAAACCTTTTGAAGCTGCTGCATGTGAGTTTTTGACAGCATAGGGAAGATGCTCTCATAAAAATAAGTTGAATTAGTGACTTTCAGTCTTCACTTAGAAATAAGGAAAACATGGTGCAGCGTAAGAAAAAAGGCTGCTGGTGGCGGAGGTAAGATGAAGGTAGGGAAGCAGAATGCTGGAGCAGAGCTGAGCGTGGAGTGGGGACTGCGCAGGGCAGGCTGCGGGAGGCAGGAGGCGAGTGATGTGTGAGGGTGCCAGGGGTGAGGTGAGGCTGCTGGGGTGCTGAGGGTGAGGTGGGTGTGGGGTCAGTGGAGGGAAATACAGCACCAAAGGGCAAGAGAGAAACCCTGCTGGTGCAGGCACTCTCTTGGTGTGCTTACGGCTCCCTCTCCTAGAGGCTTTAATCCTTGACACCTTTCTCCCTCTGAAGATTTTGTCACCTGAAGATGAAACTTGGTCAGGTGATTCTGAGGAGAGAAACTTCTGCAGCCTTAAGGTGGGCCAGATATTTTATATATGTACGGCGTAACTGTAACATGAGCAAATGCTTGTTGCCAAGGGGGATCTTGGAGAAGAGCCTGGGGAAGGGCAGTAACTCCCTCAGCCTGCGGCTATCCCTCTGGCTCTTCCCGGGCTGCAAAGCTTCCTTAGCAAGTGGCGTATCCAGGGCTCAACACAGGAACAGGACACCCCAGTGGGAGGGACAAAATAACGGCGTGTACAGCTTCTAGTTTGGGTGCACTGAGCATCTCCAGTATTTAACTTTAACTTTGAAATAAATATTTGTAATAGGATTTTAAAATTCAACTTAATAAGTGTACTAACAGTAGACAGAACTTTTGCTTAAAGTTCACATTTTTACTTTTGCACTTTACTTTCAGCAATGATTGTCCAACTCTGCTTTTCTGAATTTGCTTAAAATTTCCACACTGAAAGACTTTAATTCCTTAATACCTTTTCTGCCACTGAAGATCTTGTTACCAGAAGATGGAATTTCTCAGTAGTTGTTTTTAAGGAATGTAACTTATTGCAGTCTCAAGGTGGGCCAACTCYTTTGTATCCAGAATTACTTACAGAATTAGAGAAATATTCCTTTGAGGGTTTTGTCTGATTGTTGATTTTCTACTGTCTCTAAGTAAAGAGACAACAGCCTGGCAATATTAATCATGAATTACTAACAAGCAATTAGAAGTGCCTTTTCTGTCACATTTRTAGGTAATCAGTGGGAAGTGCAAAGGATACTGCATGGGTAGAAAAAGRTTGATGAAAGTGGATAAAAAGCCCWTGGTTTTCAATGTGGAATAGAAGTTGATCTCTTGTTTTTGTGGGGATTTTTCAAATGGTTGCCGATTTGAAAGAGTGAGTTGATGAACYCTATTAATAGAAGCATCTGTGTTAGGTAATAAAGGGGAAAATTGCCATTTAAAATGGTTCTGAATAGTGGAAATAGCTGTGTGGAATAAAGTAGCTCCTCTAAACTAGACAAGATCCCGATAGCGTAGGCTGCGTTTTGTAGGTTGTATCATGTTCCTGATAGATGGCTTGGACTTAAAGTAATTAATCCCCCAGAGGATTAGGTGGGGAGTTGCCAWCCGACGGTGAACAGTGTGTTTTTCTTTTGTGGATTCTGGAGATGTTTACWTTCCCAAAACCCTTGTGTCAGCCATTGTGGGCTTGGGAGTGATGTGGAGCWGCACCAAAGCTTTAGTCACCAAGGGCGTTGACTGCAGATCTGTTGGCTTTTAAGCTCTGTAGTTCCCTTACTGCTCGTCTCCTGGCTTCAGCTGCTCCCAGCTCCTTTGCTCCTTTGCAGTGAAGAGAGAAAAAAAAAATAATAATAATTTGTGAACCAAAGAGCAGTGTGCACGAAGACAGAAATAATCCTGAAGCACAAAGTCACCTTGTTGAGTGCCTAGCATCAGCTAACTAAAGCTGTTGCTTGATTTTCTTTCCGGTAGAGGACTATGTTGAAACTCTTAAAACAGTTCAGCTTGAAGCTGTTAAAATAATCTCATTTTGAGTGTGCCAAAGACTGGAAAAAGAATGGAAAAATCTATTTTCTGTTTGACTTCTGTAGTTACAGTATTTTGACTACTGTTAGCCAAAGAGTTCACATTTAAAATTTTATGCAGAAACACTAGAAGAAGAAGAATTGCTATATTCTCATTCAAACTGAGCTCTGAAGCTAAGCAGATTAACACTTTTCTGATTTTACTTGTGGCAATTTGCTATTTAAATTAGTTTGAGTAAGTCTTCTTTTCGTGACAGGTTTTCCAGGGGTTGCTTCTTCAGACAACTTGCCTTTCGAAGTCTTTTCATGCACCTTTCAAACCCAAGGACAGTGTTTTATTTCTTTGCTTGTCTGCCAAAATAGCAGAGGAAAAATATGGCTTCTCTTTTCAGTATAAATTATACAAAATTGCTCAGAAAAGAGTCAGATAATTTGCCCAATCCCTCTTTGCAACTGCTAAAAGAAAAATCAATTTTCAGTTACATCATGGGAGGAAGATGACAGCCTCCCTTCAAAGCRGGATTCAGAGCACATAGGCTGGATTCCCGCTCTGAATCATGCTCTGTGTCACTCTTCATTGAGCCTGTCTCTCTTCATTTAGTGTAAAGSCACAGTCTAGCCCTCCCACTTAGGCAGCTCTGCTAGATGCATAAAATTAATCCATGTGAATAGCCCATATACAGGCCTGTTTTCCGAGCAAAACTTTTCTTTCTCAAAGAAGCATGTCAAGAAGTCATGCAGCCTGAAATGATTTCCATATAGCTGATTTTGGCTGCCTCTTGTTTTGTCTAGTGAACTAAAGATAAAAGCGTTGGCTCCACTAAACGAGCCCACCTTCCTCAGACTCTGCTTCTCAGAAGAGAGCAATTCATCCCAGATTGGTTCTGC